TTAGGTTTAGTTTAGGATTTTAAAGGGAATGGTGAACATGAATCAATGATAGTTGACTGTGTGCTTTTAGACTGTTCCTAGTGACATGCTCATTCATGATTTAGGACTACACTAGGCGGTAGCTAAGCATATTTGAAACGAAGTACCCTAGAGGAATTTGAATAATTTCGATTTAGATGAAGGAATACACTAGCTCTGTTTTATTTTGGACTTAACTTGGACTTAATTCTCTCATTAAAGCATTAGACCAGAGAAACGAATCATACATTCAGGACTCCTTTACCCTTTTTACTACTCTCTATTGATCCTAAATGGCTTGTTCATCTTTAGCTAGTTCCCCACCTTAACCAATCCTCTTTCAAACCACATGCACTCTTGTTTTCTATTGTCTTATATGCAGATATGTCTAAAAATGTTAGAGAGAAAGAAGAACGACGCAGTTTTCAGTCACCAAAGACAGAGACCTGCGATTTGCCGGAAAACTTCACAGAAGGATTCAACACATGAGAAAGCTCAGTTTGCCTTAGAAAAATCTCAAATTTTGGTACAATCTCGTCCTCTAGTCTCTTTCCTTATAAGGCATACCCTTTCAAAAAAAAAAAATCTGAAAATAGGAAAAGAAAGGAGTTATAAGCCTTAGAGAGTCTAGAGAGGTCGAATTTTAAGTCCCAAGGCAACTGGAGATTGATTTTATGGAGTTTTGGAGATCATTTTCTGATTCCCGGAAAGAATCTAAGTCTGAGGGAATAGCTGTTCACGACAAAGGAGGAAGGATTATGCAACAACATTGGGCAAGAAAAAATGACTGAAAATTGCGGTCATCAACAGGTCCTTATCCCTCTTGCGGTTTTGCATATTATCTTGCATCCTCCAGATTCATCAGGTAACCCGAAACACTTTAACTCCACCACTTAAACAGCTTTTTAATGTCAAACGCCGTCTACCCTGGATGATGTCTTTGGTGATAATTCACTATTACACTTAATGAATGTAGAGAGCTAGTTGACTAGAATCAAGATTTAGATTACTTAAGTTTTGCATGACGGAAAAAGTGGACTAGTAGCTTTTGTGTTTTGGTGAGAATTTTCTAGACTAATTTGTGAATTGATGCACGATCTTTGGTCCTAGTTCAGAAGTTCATGTCTCTGAGATTTGTGCATTCCCTATTTTTGTTTTCACTTAACTAATTCAGACTTTTGCTTTGTTTGAAGACAAACGAAGGTTTAAGTCTGGGGGAGTTGATAACACCGTATTTTGACCATTTTTATGGATCGTTTTGAAATACTTTTTCTATGTTTTTTATTGTTTTCAAGTATTTTTATTACATTTTTCTAGTAGTTGTAGTTCCAAGACTGTTTTCAGGAAACTTAGGGAAAAGCTTAACAAAATGGATAGAATACCAGATTTTTAGCTCAGAGTCAACCCGTCAGAAGTTCACCCCCGATTGAAGGCCTTCTCACCGTCTGATCCAACTCAAATTTGGAGATCTTAAAGATGAAAGTATCAGCTTTCCAGCACACTTTACAGCTTGGCAATCCAACGGTTAAATCAAAAGATACGCGAAGAGCAAGATGTCTCGTAAACCAGCCGGCAAGCACTTCCACCCGCGGCCAGCAGCCATTTCACCACGGTCAGAGGCTTCCCGACAGCGGCCAACCACCCATTCCCCGCGGTCACGCACATACCGACCGCGGCCAGCCAACTCCGAACCCGAAGGCCCATTTCTGAAGCCCAAAATGATTCTCTCATTTGGAGAAACCCTAAGTGACGCCCAGAGATGTCTTGAGCACTATAAATACATGTTTTAGGAACCCTAATTCGTATCATCACCTTTTACACCATCTTGTTTTCTTATTGCTTTATACTCTAGGTTTTAGGAAGAGAGAGATTTGTCTCTTGAACCCTTGTTCTTTCTTTTTTAGTTTCGATTTCTGTTCTACTTTTTAATACTATGTTTTTTATTTCGTTCATCATGTCTGAATAGTTTTATTGTTGGGTCTAAGGGATTATCGATGGGGGTACATATGTTCGATGAGGATTCCATGAGCTATTGAAGCCGAATCTTAGAATTTTTTCTTCTGAATTTACTATTACTACATGAGAGTAGCGTCATGAACTACAATCTAATCCAGATGCTTGGGGACACGAAAGTGTTCATCCGGTGTCAGATCTAGTTTGGGAGAGCACAACAAACATAGGAGTGGAAACCTACCTATGGGCGATTTGTGAATGCTGACGAGTCTTAAACATAATGCATCTCTTCTCTTCCAGGGCCAGAGTGGAAACCTACTGGACAGGGTTGAGAGAGATAGTTGTCTATGATCACGACAGTGGCGTATTCCTACGTCCGTGACTCTAGTTCGAAAAGTTTAAGCTAAGATCTTATCAAATTTACTCTCTAGCAATGTTTTGAATCGTTCATACCCCTGAAAAAACTTCCTTGAAACCTAGCGCCTCCTTTTCTATAGATTTACACCGATTTTCATTCAAGTTTTACTCTAGTATTTTCATCCTCTCAATCGGTTTTTATTTAAGCAATTCGGTTTAGCCGTTTTTCTCGTTTTTAGTCGTTTTCGTTAAGTTTAGTTATTAGGTCATTTCAATTCCCGTATTTTCTCATTAAGATTAGTTTTTATGTTTTAAAGACACCACCAAAATGCTCAAAAAAATCGCTTGGTTCTAGACTTCCTTACTTTATATTTCTTTCGAAGGCATTTGCAGGAAAGATCCTCCTTCCCTGTGGATTCGATCTCTAAGTACTACAATCGATCAGCTGTGCACTTGCGGCTATTGATTTCATTTTGGGTAAAACTTGATACCCTCATCGCAGACCACATCAGATCGACACCCTAAGTCCTACAACGTACATCTGTGCACTTGCAGACACTAGGGTTTTATAAATTTAAAACTTTTGGAGGACCAACGGGCTTGTTAAAAACCAACCCTAGGCCCGCAAGCCCATCAGACATTCTCATTTATAGCAAGAACCTTGATGAACATGTGGAACATTTAAAACTGGTGCTAGAAGTCCTCAGGAAGGAGCGTTTGTTTGGCAATTTTAAAAAGTGCTCATTTTGTACAGATAACGTGGTCTTCCTAGGTTTTGTTGTTAGTTCCCAGCGAATACAGGTGGACGAGGAGAAGATCAAGGCAATCAAGGAATGGCCAAGTCCGAAATTGGTTGGGGAGGTCCAAGCTTTTACGGTCTCGCAGGGTTTTACCGACGGTTTGTCCGTGATTTCAGCACCATCGCTGCACCTCTTACCGAAATCATTATGAAGGACGTAGGGCTCAAGTGGGAGCAAGCTCAGGAGGACGCATTACAGAATTTTAAGCACAAGCTAACCCACTCACCTCTTCTCTCTCTGCCTAACTTTCTTAAAACATTTGAGATTGAGTGTGATGCATCAGGTGTGGGAATTGGAGCGGTTCTTATGCAGGAGAAGCGGCCTATAGCTTACTTCAGTGAAAAGCTCGGAGGCACGACACTGAACTACCCGACCTATGACAAGGAGCTATACGCTTTGGTATGGGCCTTGCAAACGTGGTAGCACTACCTATGGCCTAAAGAGTTTGTGATCCACACCGACCATCAGTCCCTAAAGTACCTCAAAGGGAAACAAAAGCTTAACAAGCGTCACGCCAGATGGGTCGAGTTCATCAAGACATTCCCGTACGTGATCCAGTACAAGCAAGGCAAGGAAAATGTGGTGGCCGACGCGTTGTCCCAAAGATATGCCTTGATCTCAACCCTAGACGCCAAGGTCCTTGGATATGAAATGATTAAGGAGGCTTACCCAACAGACCCAAACTTTCAGGAAGTTTATCAGGCCAGCTCAAAATTTGCCAATGGCAAATACTTCCAAAGTGACGGTATTTGTTTTATAATAACCGATTATGCATACCTAATCTGCCTTTGCGTGATTTACTTGTCAGGGAGGCTCATGGTGGTGGACTGATGGGGCATTTTGGAGTGGCCAAGACGTTAAGCGTGGTCCAAGACTATTTCTATTGGCCGCACTTGAAACGGGATGTTGAACGGATCTGTGGTCGATGCACCGTATGCAAAATGGCTAAGTCCCGATGCCAAGGCCCAGGTATGTACATGCCCTTACCATTCCGAGTGAGCCATGGTCATATATCTCGATGGACTTTGTATTGGGCTGGCCTAGGACTAGACGAGGTCGAGATTCGGTCTTTGTGGTCGTTGATAGATTTTCTAAGATGGCTCATTTTATTCCGTGCCATAAAACCGATGATGCTTCTAACGTGGCCGACATGTTCTTTAGAGAGGTAGTTCGTTTGCATAGGGTCCCTAGGACTATCGTTTCGGATAGAGACACCAAGTTCCTTAGCTATTTTTGGAAAACTTTGTGGGCTAAGTTAGGAACTAAGTTGTGTTTTTCTACCACATGTCACCCCCGAACCGACGGTCAGACCGAGGTTGTGAATAGAACTCTGTCAGCTCTTTTAAGATCGATCACTAAAAAGAACATTCGAACTTGGGAAGATTGTTTGCCACATGTAGACACTACAAGAAATGTGGGTATTATTAGCGGTCGTTAACCGCTATGAATCGTATAACATAGTGTTTCCTTAAGCGCTCTGACAGCGCCCGTCATCGTAGGTCTGGCACTTTAGATAGCGGACTTGTCGAATGCTATATTTAAGTAAATGCCAATAGCGTTTATGACGCTGCTATTATTAATTTTTATAATAGCATGTATTAATTGTTATGATTTGGTTGTACCTATCTGAATTGTTTGACAAAGATAGCATATATTTTTCTGTTATTAAATTAATTTATAATGACCCGAATTTAGATTTAAATAATTATTTTTAATAATAAAAATTAATTTTGGTTTTATTAAATTGCAAATTATTTTGGTGATAAGAATTTCATAACAAAAAATACCATTCATTAATCATTTCCACGTTTACAAATCCAAAATCATCAGCAACCAAAACCAAAAATCATCAACATTTCCATGTTTATTCTATCAATCAACCACTAATAACCCTTCATAATCATCCCTAACATAAACACTATCATCATCAGAATATTCACCATCGAGATCTTCAACTTCTGGTACAGGTAAAGGTGCAGAACCTAAATCCTCCTCTGTTTCCAACTCATGATAGCCTCTAGGTGGTGCTCTCATAACAACATACCAATTTGAAGAATCATCTTCCCTAGAGTAGAATACCTGTTTCGCTTGAGAAGGTAGAATGAATGGATCTTTCAAATATGCTGCTTGGTTCATATGAAGGTTCACAAGAGTGAAGCCATCTTCTTCTTTCACACCATTCCCTGAGTTGGCCCAATTGCATCTAAACAGAGGTACTTTGAACATATGGTAGTCCATAAGTAGAATCTCCTTTATCACTCCATAATATGTAAGCATATCAGCTACCTGTCTTGTATCTCGTGCACTTGATCTACACATGCTAAATGCTTCATAAGTGACTCCACTGTTTTGTGTCTTCCGCTTAACTGCATCTGTGTGAAATCTCTGCCCATTGACGATGAACCCTTTATGTGCTTGCGCAACATTTCTAGGTCCAAATGCTAACCACTTTATCTCCTTGGAATGTCCTTCAGTTGCATCTGAATGAATCTGATCCAGGAAAAAACCACCAATTTCAGAGCAATCAGTAATCTAAAAATCTGAACATGAACATGAACTAACCAATCCGTACATTTACTGAAATGGTAATCAAGAAGAGTGAAGATGACAACCTTTGTTTTAACCCATTGTGCAAACTGCTCTGTATGGTTTTTCCACAACAAAGTTTCATTTTTCTCACATCGAGCATCAGTAGCTTGTAATTCTTCCAAATGCATCCTGAGTTTACAGTAAACAACAACTATGAAAATGAAATACAAATTTTAAATAGAGCTGAAACTAAAAGGATATCCTCTTACCCAACATACGGTTCCATACAAGCCATGTTCATTAGCACATAGCGATGTGCATTGTCTCTATCTTTATCAGAAAGGGTGACCTGTTTACCCTTCTGTAGAGGTCGACCTTGAAGCACCATCCTATCATCCTCAATATCTTCATTACGATTCACTCTTTCTTGAACTGGTACTGAATCTTGAAGGAACTCTAAACAAAATGCAATGCATTCTTCAGATAAATATCCCTTAGCCATACATGCTTCTGGCTTTGCATGATTCTTAACATAAGCCTTTAATTTTTTCATGTACCTACAATTCAGTCAACATATATGCATATTAGACTAACATTATTGCATGAATTTCATATAGTAAAGCAATTGAGTACATCAAACCTTTCGAAGGGATACATCCAGCGGAAGTGGACTGGTCCTCCTAAACGTGCCTCTTTTGATAGATGTATTGGAAGGTGGAACATGATATCAAACAAGGATGGAGGGAAGAACCGCTCCAATCGACACATTGTTTCCACAAACTCAGACTCCATTGTTATGAGTTTCTCCGGGTCAATGATACGCTGGCACAATCTGTTAAAGTAATTGCATAATCTGGTAATAGCAATCCTAGGTCCTCTACGTAACAAACCTCTTAACGCAGCTGGTAACAAGTTTTGTACTAGCACATGATGATCATGCGACTTCAAACTTCCTATATTAGGAGGGTTAACTGAAACACTGTTAGCAATATTACCACAATAACCATCAGGACCTCTAAAATTAGATAACCTTTGGCAAAAAATAGCCTTCTCTTTCTTGGATAACCAATAGGCTGCTGGAGGTAAGTATGTTTTCTTTCCCCTAACCTCTGCGTGCAAGTGCTTTCTGATTCCAATATCTTCTAAGTCTTTTCTTGCTTTCAAACCATCTTTCGACTTGGCAGTTTGCATCAAGATAGACAATATAGCATCCGAGACATTTTTTTCTACGTGCATCATATCAATATTGTGACGCACAGGCAATTCCTAAGACATTAAACAATAAACTGTTAGGCATATACGTATACAAGAAACTGAGAATATTGTTTAGTTAAGTTACTTTACCTTCCAGTAAGGTAGTTCAAAGAATATTGATCTCTTCTTCCACCGCCATAGATCATTTGATTCTTCACACTCATCTTCTTCAACCAGCTCATCATCTTCCAAATCTGTTCTTTTTTTTTTCCTTGTCTAGAGGTCTTCCAAAATCATTCCTAAACGTCTTTACTGTCTCATAAATTTCATCGCCTGTTTGTATCCTATTAGCTCTCCCAACTTCAACAGTGTTGTCAAACCACCCTTTTTTAAATCTGTAGGACTGGCCAGGCGGTAGTCTCTTTCTATTTCCCATGTATACATACTTACGGCTAAAGTTAAGCCACATAGAAGGAGTATCCTTTCCACAGACGATGCAAGCTTGTTTCCCCTTGACTTTACTTCCAGACAATACTCCCAAGGCTGGATAGTCACTGATACTCCAAAGTAGTATGGCTCTAAGTGTGAAGTTCTCCTTCGCAAATGAGTCATACACTTCAATACCCTCAGACCACAAATCTTGTAAATCTTCAATCAAAGGTGCTAAGTAGACATCTATGTTATTACCAGGAGCTGATGGACCAGGGATCAACAAAGTTAACATTATATTCTCAGCCTGCATACACATTGTTGGAGGCGTGTTATAGTTGACCAACAATACTGGCCATGTGCTGTGATTGGTGTTTTGCATAGAGAAAGGGTTCATCCCGTCTGTACAAAGTCCAAGTCTAAGGTTCCTTGGTTCGGCAGCAAAGTCAGGCCATCTGTCATTCACTTGTGCCCAAGATATAGAATCAACAGGATGTCGCATTGTACCATCTTCAGTTGCATTTGTTGAATGCCAACACAAATGCTCAGCCATCCTTTTTGATCTAAACATCCTCCTAAATCTGTCCTTGATTGGAAAATATCTAAGGATCTTTGCTGGAATCCCTATCTTCATCTCATTACTGTGCTTATTTTTCTCCCATCTTGAAACTTTGCACCTTGGACAGCTTTCTAGCTTTTCAAACTCCTTCCTATATAATATGCAATCATTCCTACAAGCATGAATATTCTCGTACCCAAAACCAAAGACCTTCAGAAACTTTTTGATTGCGTCTGTACTCTTCGGAAGCACATTGTCTTCAGGTAGCATATCTTGAATTAAAACCAACAGCTGATCAAAGTAGTTCTCAGACAAACCACTCTTAACTTTGATTCTGTAGAGTCCCATGATTGCTGCCACCTTTGTGTATTTCACACAAGTAGAGTACAATGGAGTTTCAGCTTCTCTTAACTTCGTCCTGAATTCAGTTTCTTCTAGAGCTTCATCCTCCACATTTGGTTCCCCATTGTCATTCGGATTACCTTCACCTATACAAAATGCTGTCTTCAACAAATCAAAAGCCTCAGTTTCAGATCCAGGAGCAATATCTTCCGTACAATCTCTTTTCTCACCATGAATACTCCAACAAGAACTCTTATACTTCATATCCATACCCCTAATCACTAGATGCTCAAAAATCTTCTCTAAATAACTGATGGCTTAAATTGCGGCAATCTCTACAGGGGCATAGCATTTCAGACAGATTACCTAATCTTCTTGCTGATGAATTCACGAAATTAGTCACTCCTTCTGAGTACCCAAGAGTATTCCTACATGGTAAATCGGGAAATAGAAGTTAGCCTAACAAGATAAATTGGGAAATACAAGTATAAGATTGAGAGATTGTGTTAAGAAGATCAAACCTTGGCAGGAAAACCCATGCCTTGTCCATATGAAAACGACTGAGATCGAGATATTTCAGTTCGTCTGATAAGAGATGGTGTTACGAAGAATGTGTTATCATGTTAAGAAGAATTGTGTTAGAGATTGTATTAGGGATAAGGAGAGATCGAGATATCGAGAGATTGTGTTGCGAAAGATTGTGGTAGAGATTGTGTTCTTTTTTTTGTCGGCGCCAAAGATTGTGGTAGAGCTAAATTTTTCATCTCAATCTAAATTTTTTCGGAAATTCACCTTTTCCCGGTTAAACGCATTCATCAGTAAAGGACGGCTCAGATTAGAGATGCAAAGGTGGAGAGACATATCCAACGGTGAAGTAAAGGCCACGTCTGCGATCTGCGTATAATTTATTCATTGGCCAATCTGTTTATTCCATTTTTTTTAGTTTTAAAATAGGTTTATGGTATTAAAATTACGTATATAATCCAAATTTTTTTTGAAAATTTATAAAAATCAGTTTAAAAATATTCAAAAATTATTTCTTATATTTTGTATTCATATTTCAAATTAAATAATACAAACACTTGTTTGTATCCTACTTTAGGGTATATAGTCTACTTAAACACTTTAGGGTATAGCACTTTAGGGTATAGTATTAAGTCAAACACTTAGTTGTAATATGTACAAAGAAGTTTTTAGTATGGTTTATGTTTAATCAAACACTTAGAGTATCAATTCATATAATCCAATAATTAATTTTAGGTATAAAGTTAGCATGGTTTAGGGTTTAAGAGTCTACCACTTTAGGGTATAGAATATGGTTTAGCTTTTATGGTATAATTTCATATAATTCGAAAATTAATTAATTTTAGACTTAGAGTATTGGTTTATTTTAAAATCATTTAGGGATTAGGGTATATGTATTTTTAAATAATTTCAGGTAATTAATTGTAAATAATTTAGGGATTAGGGTATAGAAATCTTGAATAAAATCAATTTAGGGATTAGGGTATAGAAATTTTGAATAAAATCAATTTAGGGATTAGGGTATAGAAATTTTGAAATAATTTCAGTAATTTATTATCATATTACTTCTTATATCTTTTAATTTCAAAATTGAAAATTTTAAATACCACATATTAGTGCTAATATCACATAATATAACATAAGTATCAGACTATTACACAAAATACAAAATACAACAAGTTTTAATTAAACGTAAACCATAACCGGAGCAATCAAACCGGACCAGCATATAAGACTATTACACAATCTTAAGTTTCAAATGAACAATATTTTGTCATTTGGTCATGCCACAGTTGAACCTATCGCATCAGAAATGTATTCAATCTCTGAAGTTGGTCTCCAGACCTTTGCAGTACCAATCTTAGCCACTTCAACCCAAACCTTGCTTGCATTTGGACCTAGGGGTACAAAGTGGCACACATCGTTCGGATCCGTTGAAGATACTCTTCCTTCAGCTACCTTTCGTCCAGAGTTGTTGCAGTCTAACAGAAAACACTTACTCTTTGCACTTTTGGTAGAACTATTGCTGCCTGGACTCTACAATTCAAACCAGAAAATAGAATCAAGTACCAACATCAATACAATAGAATCAAGTACCAACATCAATACAACAGACAAACAAATAAAGAAACTTCAAATAAATCGCATACCACTGCTTTTGGCTCAGATCCTTTTAGCTCAGCTGTTTTTGTAGGTGTTGCATCTGCAGACATGATTTCAACCTTCAGAACTGGCCATGCAATTTTCTCGTTAATTGCATCACCAATCAAGAACTTATCAGCGGTTGGCCTCCACAAATATGCATCATTTTTATACACCTTCACAACTTCAATACTAACAGCATTCGGACCTAGAGGTATATTGTTAACCATCTCTTTTGAATTAGTTGAGCACATGATTCCTTCACCAATAACCTCCTCCTCTTCATTAGTCCAATCAAATATTTTGCATCTTCGAATATCATCTTCATCGGTTTGCTAAAATGTAAAAAGCTAATGATTAGAGATATGGAAAGGAACTACAAACCAAGATTTACAAACCAAAATTACAAATGACTTACCCTGGATACATCGACAGAAGAGTTTGGAGCCCTGTCTAAAATGACTTTGTCTATTGGCCAAGCTATTTTGCATCCCACAGCTTGCTGAAGAGATGACATATCTACTGTAGGCCTCCAAAGAGAAGCTTCTGGGTTTACTGCAGACTTGACAACAATGGCCACTGCATTGGGACCAATTGGTACACGACCAATTTTGTACATCGGTTCAGCAGTGTAGAATTCTCCAACACCAACAACAACATCTGTTGACTCAAACCAGTCCAGTATTTCTACTCTCACTCCTTTCAAATACCCACTACTCGCAGATGTTTCAGGATCACCATTACTTTTCTGAAAGAAGGAAAGTGAATTAGTAAATGTCATAATACTAGTTAAACAACTGACATATGAAAATACATAATTACCTTCTTCGCAGCTAACTCGTTGACCATTCCTTTTAACTGTCTAATCTCACTTTCCATATCAGCAATCTTTGCGTCTCTAGAATGCAGAAACTCTAACTTAGTAGCTGTAATCCCTCTGCCAAACCCCATTACTCGGCCAGGTTTGTCTTTTCCCAAAACCTTGCTCACAGCATCTTCCCTGATATTTTCAGAAGCTGATGTGGAGTCCATTTGACTATCAAGTGACCGTATTTGTTCCTGATACAGATATATGTCCAGATGTTAACTCAATGATCATAATCCATTAATTGTACACAATATCTCAAGTTCAAGAATTCTTACAATAGTCTCAGCAAATTGAGGCTTCACAGGTCTACCATCACCATGAGTGTGTCCTGCAATCCATATCTTACTCCTCGTTACCTTCCTTGGGTCATTACTCTTTTTTTTTCTATATAAAATACAGACATATGTTAGTACCATTTTATTTCAAAGTAATTAATAATATAGATGTTTGAGTAACTATTTTACCATATCATGAGCTAATCGAAGCATTCCTTTGCGACTGGTGGTGTGAGGAATCTGATTTCTTCTCAGCTCTCTGTACTTGTCACTTATTACCTACAATATAAATCTGAATCAGTTTAAATCTATAAGACAATATTACATGTAAACAAGACAGTGTCTTATTTAAAGATGGCTAACTAACCTTGAAATTTGTGCTACACTTGCTCCTAACCCAAGAGTTCCATACTTGAATGGATGGGATGTTGCTGGGTTTTAAAGCTATTCTCTCAGCAGCAGTCTTTGCAGCTCGTACTTCTGTCACTAGCCTTGACTTCCCAGCCCTCCACAAACTTCCCAACTGCTTTATAATAACAGCTTTCTGCCACTCTTCATGCACGTTAAACCTCCCCTGCAACATAATTTGCAGAGGTCAAACATGTTTACAATTTCATATATAGTTATTAACAAAACGTAATATGCAAATATACCTGAATTTCCTCCCACATTGTGTCTCTTGTCACTGGATCAAGTTGTCTCCAATCACTAAGAGTAACCGGAACGTGTTCCCTCACAAGAGGACCAAGAAAAGATGATAGTGTTACTGAACCAGGTCCAACAT